TATAACCTTACTAGGTTTCTCCAATGATGGCGAATGGCGATACTCCTCTATTAAAAGCAATACGGCAACATACTTCACTTCCACCAGCGCCTCAAACACAGACTAATGGCAGCACATGGTATACACTTAAATGATATCAGGCAGGATACGATAGGAATAATTTTTCTGACATCTCGTATGTACAGGAATAGGATACTGTACATATCGCAAAAAAACTGCGCACAAGGTTTCTTAAGCCTAAAGCGGTTTTAACAATGGAATCCTCTACTGCACAACCTGCGCATATATACCAGCTAATCCGAAAATTTTTATAGGACAAACATTTGTTAACAGCCTCGGATTTAAAAGGCGAAGATAAGATGTGCTTCAAGTCTGCGAAAAAAATTTGTTCTGAATCGGTTATCCAGTTGCTTCGAAGTATTTCAGGAAGTGAAGATGATAGGGCAATTTGCTTATCATCTTACTTGGACACTGCGTGAGATGTATGCAAGACCTGCTTCACAAAATATGGTTTTGTGTATTTTTTTTGCGGATTTGGTGCAGATAGCTAGCTGATCAGGCGCGTCTCAAGATCGGTGACAACTTTATCACCTCAAATTGTTACCTATATATTGAGTCGCTGTTCATGCTCCCATCAATATTTCCACCAAATCTGACAAATTCTATGGGCTTGTATTTTCGTTCGTTTCGAAAACGCTCACCGCTTTTTAGTCGCTTGGCACTGACATCAAAAGTGCTGACCGACTAAAAAGCGGTGAGCGTTTCCGAGAAAGAAAATACCGGCCATGTTCCTTCCTGATCTTTTTAGTAGTAAGACGTGCGAAAAGACATTCATCAGATCAACAAGGTCTATGATTTCGACAGCATAAGGGATATTATTCGTAGACTGGACAGAATCGTAACTATAAAAAATACTATGCATGACCTACAAGAAGTTTTAAGTTTTCTGAGAGAAGAAAAAAAAAGCAATGAAAGGGCAAACTATTTCGACCGACTTCAAAAATCTATCAGATAACTTCGAGCAGGCCAGTGTGGAAAAAGCGTTATTGGATTGACGTTGCTATTGCACCATCAACCACCCGAGAGTCAACTCCTATAGAAAGTAATATTGACCACGAGTTAGCTGTAGCTGGTATAGATAATCAGAACTGTGAGATTTTGGATACGTTATCACCATAAACCCCTTCGGAGGATTTCTCATTGAGGCTGATGCCAGAAGAAAGAGATACCGTGTTTACGAATAACAATATTCGACGAGAAGTCCACCGTCATTAAAAAATCTTCATTATTCTGGCTATTAGAATAGGCAAGCAGAGGGTGAGTACTGATAGGCTGCGAATAATTTTCTCGACAAAGTCAAAAACGCTAAAAAAATGCAATATTCATGGTTCTATTAAGCCCAAAAAGAAGATTTTACCAAATAGAACAAAGATTACAAAGAAGAGCGACTATGGTCATCTATTCCCAACAAACACAGTACCTACGTACTGAAGACGTACATTTTAGGTCCTTTTTACGTCGGTTCGTCGGGGATGTAAAAATACGTTTTGAGTACGTGCGTAAAAGGCTGTATTGATGTACACACAAAAAAGTACGTACTAAGAACGTACGTGAAAATCTATATTGCGTACGTCTTGTAAAAGACGTACATGTTCGTTTCAAAGACGAACAATACAGGACGAGCTGGATCATTCCTATCTATTCATGATTTTTTTAGTAATTGCTGACTCGATTTCTGATAATAATATATTTTTAAATAACATGCAATTTCCAAGGAAAAGATACGGAAGTGATCCTTCCAAATTAAACTCTAAACCCAAAAGTGCCGGTCGTTGACATGGATTCTTATTATTAAACCTTAGATCTAAACTTAAATAAGGCAGGTCATATAATCAAGGATTTATATTATTTCATCTAGGTACCTGACCTTAATTTGTCAAATGTTGAAATAAACATAAAATAAGCCAATAGAATGGAAAACAAGAAGGGAAGCCAGCCACTTGGCATCAGCAGGGTGCAGTGTTGCCAATGACCCGATAATTATCGAAATCTATCATAATTTTGACTACGATTCAATAATCGATAATCACAAGCTAAATCTACCATAATTTATTGAAACTACAATTTCAGTGCATATTTTTAAAATTTTTAGTTGAAAATTAAAAATTTATTTAATTGGTGGTTTTGACGTAGGTACTAGTGGGCGCACCAAACATTTCCCAGCTAGAAATGGATTGAGCTGGCAGTTTGAGTGCTGACCGTTTGCCTCGTTTGACTTGTTCCTGTCTGCTCTATTTTGCCTTTTTGTCTTGTATGTGTAGCTCGTTTGTAGTGTGGTGTGAGGTTGTGTTTTCTTCTATTTTTGTTTTTTTTTTTACCAAGTCAAGTGAAGCGAGAACCATTTTGTTTTGATTGCAGCAACGTGTTTAGCTTTGTTTTTTGTGTATAATAATACTTTTACCAAGATTTTTACCGTGTGGAACTTTTCTTGATTTGTGCCCCTTTACAATTCTCTCAATGTTCGTAGGTTACCTACCTATATATTTTTTTTGTTATATTTACTGCTGTTTAACGTTAAGTTTAAGGCTATGTTATATTTTATAATTCATATCTTAAGGGTATCTATGTTATACATATTTGATCTTGCGTTAATTTTTTTTCAGTTTTTCAGTGTAATTGTTAAGATATGTATAAAGATATAAGTATAAAAATTGTCACTTGAAAATAAAATATTTATATTGTTTTATTTTTCACTATAAAATTACTCATAAATACATATGTACCCCTATGTATAGGGTTTTCTCCTATATTTTTGCACCCCATCTGAACAGGTTAATTGAATAGGTATCAAAAGGGTGTAAATACAACATTTGTATTTACATCTTTTCGACGCCTATTCAATCAACCAGTTTCGGTAAGGTGCAAAAATATATGGGAAAACCCTGTACGTCCTAAACACATTCATAAAAAGCTATACTAAATACGTACGTTGATGTACGTCCCCAACACGTGACTAAAAAGCCGTACTGAGTACGTCCCTGAATGTACGTACGTGAGACGTACTATTTTGTGGAAAACGACCGTCTTAAAGACGTCCTTCGGACGTCGGCGGGACCTAAAAAGTACGTCCGCGAACGTACTTTCGTCCGAAAAAGTACGAATTATGGACGTACTAAAGACGAACTTGTGTTTGTGTTTGTTGGGTTCGTAGCAGGAAGACAAACAAAAACTCAACTACTAACTCCGTAACTTCAGACAATGACCAAAGGAGTATCAAATACGATGACAGCACAAACACTGATTCTTTTTTTTCCGATGAAATCAGTGAGACAAATAATAACCTCTATGATAATAACTGATTGGAATGTCTTTCATCAAATCTTCCCGCAACCAATATGACATTTCCGACTGTTGGACCCAAGGTTGAAACCTTCAATAATGCTGTTCAGTCTGAATGTAGGAAATTTGATGCCATATATTATGAGCAACAGTGGTACCTATTTAGGCTTAATCACAGAAATTGTCGATAATAAATACGTTGTGAAGTTTTTGAGAAAAAAAAAGAAATGTGAATTTTTGTGGCCTAAACTGATGATATATATCTAAAGTGTCGGCAGAGTTAATTTTTATGGAACTATGAACGTTAATGAGAAAAACTCTGAAGTACCGTTGCAAATGAGTGACCTACAGTTAAAAGACAGTAATGAAAGATACAAACTAATGCAATCTACATTTAAAAAATCAATTCTCACGATAACTGTTTGAGATGCTGGAAAATATCTTCATAATATCAAAATATGATAGAAAATCATAGGTGAACTTATATTCTTTAGCATCCTAACATTAGTGCCTGAGACGTAATAATATACAATTTACAATTTGTGTTAACAGTTTTAAACTTCGGCAGGTTTTCAATTGTTAACTGACTGTAGATTTCTGTGGATATCCATTGAAGTCCATAGATTTTCACAGATTTCTTTAGATTATCACAGAAGACTTTCGATTTCTGCCGATAATGTTTGTGGATTTTTGCGAATTTTTGTGGATATTTGTGGATTTCGTGGATTTATTTAAAAATAATGGCTTTCTGGTGTACACATTTTGGTCACCCCTCGGTAAGTACCTTCTTCCAAAATCTAAAAAAAATAATCTAATTTTTATTTAGTTGTAAGATTTTTTCAACCCTTCATCTTCTATCGATTTGAAAAGTAAATCCTAGTACACCATTATGTCTCTGCCAAAAGATAGTAGTGGCAAGGCAAATTTGTGGTACCCTATCCAAAATCTCGAGAAAAAAAAAATAAAAACCCTATTTTTATCGAGTTTTTTGATTTTCTCAGCACTTCATCCCCTAAGTACCGATTTATATAACAGTTTTAATGGGTATTCTAGAACTCTTCAACAATATGTGATCTTTGCCAAAAGATGGTAGATAAAAACATTTCATTGACTTTTTGATTTTTTCAACCCTTCATCTCCTACCGATTCGATTTGAGAAATAATTGGAGGGCGTATTTAAAAACACCTTTTCGAGTCCCTACCAAAAGATGGAACCTAACTAAAATCTCGAGAAAAAAAATTTAAAACGCTTTACGTTTCTTATTATAATATGTTTTAAATTTATATTTTACACCATTTTATTCTATTTAGTTATATAATTAATTATAATAATTATGTAAAATAAACATTTTCCATTTTCGGCATTTCCTCCGCTTGAAGAAAAAAGTAAATAGACTTTGGTGATATTTTTTTTATGGCCTTTCCAACTACATTTGATAACTTTGGCATTATTTTACCTAAATTATGGAATGACTGTTAGAACCTTACGTAGGTACCCACCCTTATCGCATACCCACCCTTACCTGACCGTACTATAGGCGAAGTTTACCCATAGAGGTATACCTAATAAAAACTGCCAATCTTTCTTTCTCCCACCCTCGTGCTTCTGTGCTGAAAATTTCCCAAGTTCAAGAGACAAAACATATTATTCATTCACATCACAGTGATCCCTTTTAAGAAGCGCGTCGGCTTTACTGTTCCGTTGGACCAATGTTGACTGCGGCGGAATTACGCTAGCGCTCCTGTTCAATCCTGTCGGTTTTTTGATAATTTCCAAAATGAATGTAAGTGACGGAATAATACGGTACCCGCGAGAGGCTACAGTTTTTGCGGCAACTTGTGCAGTGATTTTTTGTGTTTTTGGAGTTATTGGTAAGTACCTTGTTAAACTTATCTATTACTTTTTCTAGTTTTTCTGATCAACACGATCCTGTTTAAATTGCAAGTTTTGTCTAGACCAATGTTTGTTGAAGGGATTTTGGCTTTTTTTTTCATATTTTATCAGTAAAAGTGTAACAAATTTGAGAAATAGGCACCTACACTTGATTTGGTATTGAAATTGATGTTAGATTTTCTAACTTTTCGTTTTCAATAAAAATTGACCTAATTATCCCTTATAAATATTAGTTGTTATAAATTGAACCATCAACTAAAAACAAGTAGTACCTATATCACTAGCTAAAATTACATCACTACTATAATGCCGGTTTTCCACTAAACGCACTGTTAGTTTGTGTTTTGTCTATGTTTTGATGTTAGATTTTCTAACTTTTCGTTTTCAATAAAAATTGACCTAATTATCCCTTATAAATATTAGTTGTTATAAATTGAACCATCAACTAAAAACAAGTAGTACCTATATCACTAGCTAAAATTACATCACTACTATAATGCCGGTTTTCCACTAAACGGACTGTTAGTTTGTGATTTTGTCTATGTTTTAAAACAAAACAAAAACAAAACTGAAATAAACACAAAGCTCTTGTTTCCATCAAGCGGACTACGTTTTGTTTTCTCGGGGAAACAAAACTTCAACTGTCTCAAAACACGCCAGTCTTGAAAATGTTTGAGAAAAGTTTGAGTTTGTGTTTTGTTTTGTCTGTTTGGTGGACCGGCATAAAAATCAAAAAATGTTTTAACAAAAAAAAAAAAAAAAAATTACCAAATCTAGGTCTCAGATTGTTTATTAATGAAAAACAATAATTTAATAGTGACGCGTGTTTCGTTCAATGAGCATCATCAGACCTACGAAACAATAAAGAACCTAATTCTAGTCAAAAAATAAATCAAAACTTGATAAAACTTGCAGTAAAAATTAAAACCATATAAAACACTACATTTTTAAAAACAAACATGTACAATTTGGAGTTATGAGACACTTACAATAATATAAACATAAAATAAAATTTATACTACAAATTTGAAAATCATCTTCCCTTCTCAAGAGATATTCATGGAATAAAAAACTATCATAGATCTATTTTGGGATTATTACAAATCTAAAAGAGACTTACATCGCGGTTTTCTTATTTAAAATAAGTATGTCCTGAAGAACATGGGCAATGTGTGGAACTTAGAGTAGATAAAAAATGGATACTTATCTATGAATAATAATACGCTAATATATTTTATTTCTGTTTATTATTTAGCTGCCTTAGATAACAAAAGGTAAAAATATGCATTTTCATATTCGAAGTTCGCGCCACTTTCAGTTCGCCATTTAACATTTTTCAACTATCATAACAAATTCGTAATTCACCGACCATGAGTTCAGCCGAATATACAAGCACCAATGCAATCAATTATAAACACAAAATGGCCATGGCTTTTGAAATGTGATCCTACAATGTATACCTACAAATTTTGATATAGTATTGCGACAATAATTTCTCAATAGCTCACAATGCCTTCCAATAGAATTCAATATCTTGCAATAGTGCACAACACTTTGCTACAATAATTCGTAGTATTCCACGATACACTCACAATAGTCTACAATACTCTCACAATAGTCAGCAATACTCTCACAATACGCTCGCAATCGCAATGATTGGCAATACCATTACAATAATCTAAAATACTGTCGCTATACTGTAGCTTGCGATAGGTTTGCAGTACCTAGTTCTTCATTTTTATTTTTATACTCTTGTGGATGAAAAACCTTGAGATTATCTCTAAGATTATTGTGTTTTAGTGTATAATTTTCTTATATTTGATAAGTTATATGGAATATTTTTTCAGTAGTTCGGGACTTTCCGCAATACATATTTTTGAAGCATTCAGAGTCGTAATCAATTCAAGAGGTTTTCTCCTAAATCACTTTAAAATATGGCTAAAACAAGCTTAAAACATATTCAAACCATTCCAAGTATAATATCACCTAATTCAGAATTCTAAATAACTTCAAATTTTCTAATAAAATTAACAGGTCCGTAGTGAAAATATGTGAACGCCATCTTGTCGAATAATCTGTGTTGTTGCGCCTAAAATGTTGCAATAAAAAAGTGTTTTTTATTTTCTGATATCTGTCAAAATCATGTCAGAAATAAATAAAACTAAAAGCCAAAATCGATAAAATTACTTTTTTCAAAAAAAAAATCCAAATCGGAAAAAAAACCCCTACAAACCTTATGTAAAAGGTCATATTGCCCATAGTTTTTCCTAATTCAACCAATATTGTAACTCCAACCGTTCCCCAGATCTTAATGCTATCAAATCCTCATATTGGACACACTGTATATTCGACCTGAACATTACTCTGCAGTATATTATGTTATGATACTGCGTGGTACATCGGAAAAGTACTGTGTACATACAACAAGAGAAGCAAAGTGAAGTTTCTAAAATTGAATATATGCCAGTTTAGTTGGCCTGAAATAGATGACATTGATGATCTCATAAATTTGATTAGGATCATAAAGTTTATTTAAATAATATGAAATAAAAATATAAAAGTTTGAAGAAATAGGAGATACTATACGATATGTACAGCAAAAACTTTCAATAGTTCACAATTATCAAACTGGTTTGCAATCCCTAGAAACATTCGGCAATATGTTGCAATAGTCCACAATAATACTCTCACAATACTCTTCAATACCTGAGTATTGCACAATATATGTACAAAAAAACTTCAGTAAAATACCTCTCGCAAATAGGGCATCGATTGGTTCGACCAAGGTGTGCCCATTAACAATTTTTCTGATGACTCTAAAGCTGGAAGAGCAAGGTCAGCAGAAAACAAATGCAATTATACCATTATTAAATGCATTAATTGAAAATTTAATGATTCTTTTTTTCTTCAAAAAGAAAAACTACATGTTCTGCTAACTTTAAAGTTAGCAGAACATGATTTGGAAAATTCATATGTCATCATGATATTATTTATATTAAAATGTTCGTATCATCAAATAGATACTAATTAAAATATGGGCTCGGCAGTTGGCCCCCCACATTCGGTTTTGTGCTGTTTCTCAATTTTAGTCAATTGTGCTCGGTTTGTGCTCAATTGTGCGGGTATTAATGCGAATTGTCCTCATTCCCATACACCAAAAAATATTGAAACAAATCTGGGGACCAGCTTAACTCCAGCCTCCCATTTTTTTTATCTTTGGCTCATTCAATTCTGCTCGTTTTTTTTACCAAAAAAAACTAAAACAAATCTGGGGGCAAGCTTGACTCCAGCCCTCCATTTTTTTTTTACTTTTTGGCAATATTTTTGGCTCATTTAATTATGCTCGCTTTGTGCCTAATTATGCCGGTGTTAATGCGAATTATGCTCATTCCGATACACCAAAAAAAAAATTGGAACAAATCCGGGGGGCAGCCCTCCATTTTTCCAATGTTTTTGACTCATTTAATTTTGATCGTTCTCTCCTTGTTTCTTAAGAGCATCCAAAAATTAAAACATAAAATGAATCCAAGTTTCAAGCTGATTACCGAATTCCCGTAGTTCCCGTTGCTTTGACTGTTGTTTCAAAGTTAGATATTGTTGTGCGGTGCGCAAAATGAACCTAAACTGTAGCTTGTAATGAGACATTATTTTCTCTATGAACATGTCTATAAATAATATGAGAAATGAAAAAGCAAACTAAAAAAAAATGGAATCCTCACCACCTACCCTACGTTGTGTTATTTAGACCATGGCGAGAATTGCTAACAACAGATAGGGAATGTCATGATAAGAAAAACAGAAAATTGAATTTTATTATAATTTTTATTTTCTTGAAAGAAAAAAATTTCAGGGGCCGTCATTGAGGCCGCCTTTAAGTTCATTTTTGCGGTGAAACCCCTCTAAATATTGAACTATGGAAGCCTTTTTATACAATGGGAGGTACTACTTACTGAACTGGTGGACAGTTGCTTTGCAACATGGAAAATTTTACCCAAATTCAAATCTCGATATTTTTGGAAAGGAGAGAGGTATCGAGTTGCGGTATCCGGGAGGTTCTTGACCAACTCTTTGAGAACACGTACAGGGTCCGACCGGTATATTTCTTTTATTTATCCACTTATACAGGGAGCAAAGGAAGTCATGTTTTTTTAGCAAAGTTTGGGGCTATGTAAGATTCTCAGTTTTTGATATTGGAAATTTTTCTATGCATCTTTTTGATCTTTGCACTATCCTCAAAAAGTAATTTCTGAAATTTTTCGAAAGTTGGCTATAAGTCAAATCCATTTGCTTTAATTAATTATATTGAAATTTAACAATCGAAGTACTATTAAAACTCATCCGGGGAAGAATATACCCAGCATATACTTCAAGCTTGGAAGAAAAAAGTATATTATATACTATGCACATCCTATAGGCATATATTTATAGCTCATTAATGAACTTCTATACAGGGTGGAATTTTTAAATGGAATAAATTCAGCATCAGAAAGCCGGTTTGATTTCTGGAAAAATAAAAAAAACGGGTCTCTTTATTTTTAGTTTGGCACATTTTTTTGGCCTTTTCATGGAATTTACCCCTCTCTTAAGGGTAGAACCCACACCCAACTTTTTTTTTTCAAATGCAAAGATATGTATTGTGTCAAATTCGAAAAAAAAAAATAGTTATTTTTCTAACAAGTGCAGGAAATACCATTTCTCGCAAGTGTTAAGCCGGGTCCAGACTATGTAACAAAACATGTTGATAACAAAGTGGTACAATAAATTTGTTGTGTAACTTTTTATAATATAGCGGAAGCAGCCAGACTACATAACAAAAAACAAAACAAAATAGTGCGCATAATTTTTGCAGCATTTCAGCTGGTAGGGGGTGCTCAGTGCAAGAGAAATGTTTCAATTACATATTTTTAAGTGTAGACAAGTGCGGGGGTCGTGTTTTACAACAAAGTTTTATAACTTCCTTTGATCTTTACCGGCATCT